TATAAAGCATCTATAAAACGCCTATAGGTGAAGTTCTACAGTACTTCATCACAGTCTAAAGTTTATCACACGGTTAATGTTGTTTGGTAGAATTCAAATTTTTATAATTATTGTACTAATCATATTTATCTAAAATTTGAGGTGTATGTACATATGACAAAGTCTCAACAAAATAAAATATTAAAAAAATAATAGACATAAAATAAAATGATGAAATTACCCCTGAAATTTCATAGGGGTATTTTACATAACTTTTATCATTCAAATTATTTGTTTATTTTACTCATGTGCATCTCACTAAGGCACACACACATACAAAATTTCATCATTATGATTTTTTTAAAAAATATTAAAATTAAGACACTATCGAACAATTGTGACCGTGTGATAAACTTTAAATGATGATAAAGCTGTAGGTGAAGTACTGTAGAGCTTCACCTATAGGCGTTTTGTAGTGTTTTCCATATATATAGAGAAAGGATCATGTCAGCCTACGGGTTGACAACTACAGTGTCAACCAATGACCTAGATTGAATATGGGTCAAATCCAATGGTCACGACCTTATTTTATATTTGAATTTTCATGTTTTTTTATATAAATCTAAATCACTTGAAATTTTGAGTGTTAATTCTTAAAATATATTAGAATCTAATAAAACTATTTAAAAAATAATTCAAAAAACTTAAATTGATCAAAATACCCTCAAAACACGTCAAGGATATTTTGATCAATTTATAGTTATGAATTATTGTTTGTATATTTTTATTAGGTGAGACTTGATGAGTAGAATGTACGCTTAAATTTTCAAGTGTTAAGGATTTGTAGAAAAAAATGAAAGTTGAAATACGAAATAAAAGTCGTGATTGTTAGATCGGCTCAAATTCAATCTAGACCATTGGTTAACACTGTAGCGGTCAGCTCGTGGGCTGACATCATCCATTCCTATATATATATATACCGTTATTACTGATATGTCCGTTTTTTGGACCTCATAACAATTGTTTTTAAAAAAGACCAAACTACCCATTTTCGATTTTTCAAAAGCCAAAATTAGACCAATTTCCGGTTCTTGAAGAACCAAAAATTTTAATTTCAAGAACAAAAAATTTAAAATTTTCCGTTCTTCAAGAAACGAAAAATGTTTTCTCTCGCTTGTGGCATATTCTCTCTCTACCTCTCTGAAGTCATAGTTATCCGATAAAATCAGGGGGAACAACTAGTTCGAGCCCCTGAATTTAGGAAAACTCTCACGAGATTAGAAGATTCGGAGAAATCTTGTGGCGTATTCTCTCTCTACCTCTCTTGTGACGTTTTGTCTCTCTTGCGGCGTATTCTCTCTCTCTACCTCTTTGAAGTCATAGATATCCAATAAAATCAGGGTGAACAATTAGTTTGAGCCCCTACATCACAGGAGAATGGAAAGCTGATGACCCAACCCATGATGCGTACCTTCAAAAAGAGATCTCTCGTCAATTCAAGCTCTTCAAGCTATGGGAATATGCAGACCACGTTAAATTCCTCTTTCGATACGCTGGGTGAAACTTACCCAAAAAAAGACGTTGGATGAAGGGGAGAGATAGAGTTAAAAAAAAAAACATTTTTACCCATGTAATGTAGAGAGAGAGGTAGAGAGAGAATACACAGAGGACCCACAAGAGATATATTTTTTTTTGGTTATTCAAGAACCGAAAATTTAAAATTTTCGGTTCTTGAAAAACCGAAATTAGGTAGTTTCGTCTTTTTTTAAAAAAATTGTTATAAAGTCCAAAAAATAAAACATCAGCAATAACGGAAAGTATTCGGTATTTTGATAATAATGGAAACTAAAATGGATATTTACATAATTTTTTCTTTAAATATATTAGGGTAAACAATGAGAAAATATAGAAAAATTTATTTTATTATTATTATTATTATTATTATTACTATTGGCGTATACCTTTAGAGAGCAAAGAAATGACCAATCTTTCCAAGTTTTCAAAAGTTCCGCGTTTGACACACAATTTCCATCTAAAAAATTCAGAAAGCAATCTTCCAAAAAAGTAATATTATCTTATATATTAATATATAAATATCTAAATATACTAAATATAATTTATATTATATACAATAGGGTGCGGTTTGTATAGGGCCTAGGCTCTAAACAATCAAATTAGAGCCTACCTTCAAATAGCGTCGAGAAATGTGGATTCAATATTGGAAATCTTTGTAATAGCCTTAAAATATATTTTCATTTTTATTTATAAAATTTAAATCTTTAAAAATAGTGTAGATCAATAGATTGATGAAAACTTGAATATCTCGAAAATTGACGGTCAAAAAATGCGTACAAAATATACTATTTTCAAAACTTGAAATCCATTTTTTTTCTCATATCCATGCATCTTGATATCGAGATGATCAATTTGAAGATATTTGGGCATCAAAATAACCTCTTCTAGAAAGATTTTTGAGGTAGGCTCTATATAAACGTTTTCCTATATAATATAAATATAATATATATTTATTATATTCAATATATATTATATATAATGTTTATATTATTATATTATAAATGATATATTTATTATATTAAATACATTATTATATTATATATTATATATAATACAAAAATACGTTAATAAATATGTAAAATATATTATATAATGTTATATATTATATATTTATATTGTTAATATATAATATTTATTATATTAAATATATTATATATAATAATATTATATTATTATATATCATTTATATTTATTATATTATAAGCAAATTATGTTGAATCGCTGAAAAATTAAAATGCCATAATTCTATATTTGCAGTGAGATTATTGCAGGGTTTAGAAACACTATATGTAACTACATGTAGCATCTACTATATGTTAATCATGAAATTGGTGTGTAATTTTGTTGGTGATTCATTCTCAGTTCCATACCTTTCTACTATGTATTATGGAATGTTAATCATGAAATTTGTGTGTAATTTTGTCGGTGATTCATTCTTACCTTTCTACTATGGATTATAGAAAATCCCAATACATAGTGTGCTATAATCCCTCAATTGTGAATTTAGTATTGTGATATTATAATCCCTTAGGATGAAGCTTACCTCCGAGGATCAGTAATGTGACAGATCATACCCCATGCCTTTACTGCTTGATTGCATAGAGAGAGATTCATGGATGAGAAAGAACTAGCAAATATATTGGAGCTTATGGATTTAGAGAGTAGAGATAGATAAAAGACAGAATCATAAGGTCTTAAGGGTAGAGATATGATTTTTTGTTTTAAATATCAAAGGATATTTATAATAGAGATATGTATTCTAATTTTGAATAACAATCTACCATCAACGGTAAAAAAAGATAATCATCGCAAATATACCTTAATTTTAGCTTAATTGAAAAAAAAACTCCAAACTTTCATAAACCTTGTCTACACTATTTTTCCTCATTTTTGGCTTTTTTGGACCAAAATGACCTTCACGGTAGTTGTATTACTGTGAAGAACATTACGGTACTTTAAGTACCGTAGTAGTTAGTGCATTTTATACGGTGCTTTAAGTATCGTAATACTTAGTTATTTTATACGGTACTTTAAGTACCGTAATACTTAGGGCATTTTTACGGTACTTTAAGTATCGTAATACTTAGGGCATTTTATATGGTACTTTAAGTACCGTAATATCTCGAATGTTTATTACGGTACTCGAACTATCGTAATTATCTCCCGCCCTTTTTTAAGTCGATTTCTATCATAAAATCCTATTTTCATGATTTATTTATTATAAACTCCTCTTTCCTCATATTCCTTAGCCTCCTCTGTCTCTTTTATCCATTGTTCATCTTCCTTAGCTTCCTCTCTCTCTCATTCATTAAGCTTGTAAGCAACAGTAATGAGTGACAACTGAGTGAAAATCATTTTACACCTAGTGGTTTTTTCAAGAGGAAATCTATTAATGGTCGTATTTTATTTGACAATTGGGATATAAAAGTTATATTTCTTAGGGTGATCCTATCATTTGACCAAGTAAAGGATCACTTGTCAAAAGTATCAAATTATGTCCCAAGTACTATGACTATTAGGTATATTGACCCAAGATTATCAAGTAACAGTAATATGACACGTGTTGATGACGATGACGATATTACAAATATGATGGAAGGGTCTTCCTCCATTGCTATGTATGTGTCAAACAGGCCTATTGAGTCCGACTCCATTGAATATCGACCACCAACAGTGACCGATAATGGTCCATCAAGATTGGTTATGTAAGAAGTTTACCATGAAATTCATTATTATTTTTATTTATCAATATTTTGTTATGAGTTAGGATAATTCTCAATTGTTCTTCAAATTTTATTTTGATAGTAGTTCCCGACCAGAGCACGTATCAAATAGACCTATTGTGTTGGGCTCCATTGAATATCAACCACCAACAGTGCCCGATAATGGTCCATCAAGATTGGCCATGTAAGAAGTTTGCAATAGAATTCATTATTTTTTTATTTATCAATATTTTGTTTTGTGTTAGGATAATTCTCACTTGTTTTTCAAATTTTTTTTTCAACAGCAGCTCCAGATCAGAGCAATTAGTTCAGAGTGAAGGTGCTGCTAGCATAGAAGATGAGCATAATTCAGAAATCGAGCGGCATATAGATGACATCGATCCGATAAAAAGCCCCCTCAGGATTAACCGTTCCGAAGTTGTACTTCGACAGTATCAGGATTTTGATGACGTACAGGCTTGCCATAATCACCTTATTGATTATGCCATATCACAAAACTTCAATATAAAGTTTATAAATAGCGAGGAGAGACGTGTATGAGCGAAGTGTGCGGTAGATGGATATTCATGGCAAGTGCGTTGTTGGATGATTAATACAACAAACTTCTTCAGGGTGAAGAAGTTTGAAAACATGCACTCATGTGCCGACAAAATAGGTAGGGTTCATCAGTCGCTTGCCCGAAGCCATTGAGTGGCAATCAAGATCAAAGACCGTTTGAATGATATGCGCAATCTGACACCTGGAGATATGGTTAATGATATACAACATGATCATGGTGTCATGTTATCTTACCCACAAGCATGGCGGGGCACAGAAGTTGCACAAGAAATAAATGAAGGTTCTCATGTGAAGGCATACAAGGATTTCACCAAGTACCTTCATAAGATCTGAATCAGCAATGATTATTCAAACAAATGTTCGTAATAGGTTTGAGCGTGTATTTATAAGTAATCGTCCATGTTTGTATAGTTTCATGTATGGTTGCAAGACACTGATGGGACTAGATGAGACATTTTTGAAGGGAAGATACAAAAGGATATTATTGGCTGCAGTTGGGGTAGATGCGAATGAAAATATATTTCCTATAACATATGAAGTTGAGAGTTGGACTTGGTTTATAGAGCTTTTCAATGAGCAGTTTGACGAGAGGTCTGATTTGCCAGCATTGACTATTATCTTAGATTTTCAGAAAGGGTTACAAGCCACAATTGAAAAAGTATTTTCAAGTCGTGAACAAGGCTATTGTATGAATCACCTTGTCGATAACTTAAAAAATGCCTATAGAAATTTGGTGCTCACAAAGCTTTATTGGAAAGCTACACATGCATTGTTTATATCAGACTTTGATAAGTACATGACAAAGATTAAGAGTAGAAATGATGAGGCCTATGTCTGGATCATGTTAAGCATCCAAAGTATTGAGCAAACACATATTTTCGGGGGTATAGATACAATCATCTTACATCGAACATCTCTGAATCATATAACCGGTGGATATTAAATGCTTGAGAGAAGCCCCTTATTAAACTCTTTGAATACCTAGGGGTTAAGTTCATGCGAAATTTTTCAAAGAAGATGGTCATGTTCTGAGACTAGAGCGACGTGCTTACACCGAAAGCCCAAGAGGTAATAGACAAGAGGATGGATAACTTCAGATTCCTTCATACAATCATATGAGCACATGATGGTATGTATGAAATCAATGCGGATAAGAAAGATGTTGTTAATCTGACCACACATATATGCAGTTATCGGGTGTGGTAGGTTAATAGGTTGCCATACAGTCATGTGATCAACGCTATAGGTCATATGCATGAAGATGTTATAGAGTTTTGCGGTGTTTATTTCACAGTTCTTCCCTTCCCTTCAACCCAATGCATGATGCATTAGAGTTATCAGATATTGTCTACACAACAATAATACCGCCAGCTGCAAGGCGAACGGCGGGTTGGCCAAATAAATGATGCAGGCAAACATAGTACAAAGATATTAGGCCTCTTAAGTGTAGCCAATGCGGGGTTGTGGGCCATAACTGGAAGACATGTAAATCAAGTATATGAAATGATGTAACGAGGCCATTAGTGCTAGTTGATCTTTTTTTGATATGCCATTTTGTTTTTGAATTTGTAAAGAGGTCAGTGCCTGCTGATATGACTTTTTGGTTCAATTAATGAAATCTCTAAAGTTCTTGATTGATGAGTGTCTGTTCAATTTTTTAAAAGTATGTGTTCAAGCTTATTCAATTTTTAAAAGAAGACTTAATGTTAATTATGGGTGGCATGTGGTTGTTCAATTTTTTTTTAAAAAAGTGTAAAACAAATTACGGTTTTATTTTTACCATAAAGCTCAGTATTAATTTCACGGTAATTTTTTTACTGTAATAATCTTTACGGTCTTTTGTTTACAGTAAAGATGAGTAAAAACACTGCGGTATCCAAAAGACCGTAATGCTAAAACTCGACAGAAGCTTTTTGAGCATTACGGTCCTTTGGGTGTCGTAAAGCTTTAACTAATATTTATGGTAAAAACAAGTCCGTAAAGATTATTACGGTAAAAAAATTACCGTAAAGATAAAACAGAGATTTATGATAAAAGAAAGACTGTAATGCTCTAAAAAGCTTATGGAAAATTGAGCATTACAGTCTTTTTGATACCGTAAAGCTTTAAGTGATCTTTATGCTAAAAAAAAGACCGTAAATATTATTATGGTAAAAAAATTACTGTAAAGATAAAACAGAGCTTTACGGTACAAGAAAGATCGTAATGCTCTAAAAAACTTTTGGAAAACTAAGCATTACGGTCTTTTTGATACGTAAAGCTTTAAGTTATCGTTATGGTAAATAAAAGACCGTAAAGATTATTACGGCAATTTTTTTACCTTAAAAATAAAACTAAGCTTTATGATAAAAAAATACAGTAATTAATTTTTCAAGTTTTCTTTTTTAATTTGAACATGCCACACATAACATGCCACAACACCTTAAAATTGAATATCTTTTTAAAATTAAACAACACATACTGTTTTAAAATTGAATATCTTTCAAATTAAACAACACATAGCTCAAATGGTTGTAAGGAATTGTAACACATCCAAGCTATCAAAGGTTCTCATTCCAATAAGCATATAAGATGCAGAGTAGTGTTACAAATGTTACAAAAATATAAAAATATCACAAAGATCACAAAAACAATATAGGCACTACTGGCCTCTTTACAACAAAAAAATATAAAATACTATGAACGCCTTTGTCGTACTGGCAACTTTTCACCCCATTGTTGAATCTGTAATTTTGTATTTGAGCTGCTCTCCTGCTGTCTTATCACGCGATGATGTTACTGCCATCTAAGCTCATTTGGTTGAACCAGTATAAGACTGGGTTGTGTATTACTTGGCCCCTCCTCTGGTCGAGAAGGGAGCCATACTGGTGGTACATCCTCATCCCCATCATCATCCAACTCCAATTCCTCAAATGCATCTTCCGCCGCGCAGCTTTTGGGCTGTAAATTTTGAGCAAATGTAATGCTTCCCCAATTACGTCCCAATTTCTTGAATTGTAACCTTCATGTACAAGTCGAGCTGCTTGACTGATGTCCCTAGGCTACATCAAGTTATATGAAAATAGATTATTGAGATGCATATTTAAAAGGACGTTTTAAAAATATTTTTACCATTCTATCTTCATCATTATAACCTCGAGGTATCTATGTCCATGTATCTTCGTCCATGTATCTATTTCATTTCGAAGTTGGTCTGCCCAGTTGTCAGACTTCTTCCCCCTGCACAAAAAATTAATTAAAATATAAATAAACAAAATCAATGATACTTATTCTATACTAACATCATTTATCCGCGTATTATGGTCTCCTGTCGCCCCACGAGACCGAAGTTGTGAGCGTTATCCCATTCTCTAAAAGGGGCCCACCTGAGGGATTTAGGTTACCCTGCCTTTATTTTTTTGGGAGTTGGACGCAACAATTTGAAATGTTCTTATGCCCAACACTGAAATGTATGCATAAAAAGAAATTAGAATTACAACAAAAAATATCTATAAAACTTTAAAAAAACTATCAAAAACATTAATATACTAGCATTACCAACAAAAGAGTGGTTGATCCACTTAAGTGTTGATGACCAGGACGAACAACTTTTGACAAGCCTCGAAACAAAAAGGCTAAAGCAGCTGCACCCCATGCATACTGATCATCTATATCCATATCCTCAAAAAGTTGTAAATAGATTGTAGGTACGGTACCATCTGTGGAATTCACAAAGAATGTGTAGCCAACTAGATATAAGAGGTAGGCACATTGTGTCGTAAAATGGTGATGCGGTTAGGGTTATACAGCGACTGTTTAAAAGTGTTCCTTAACCATCTCAGCCGGATAATAGAATGGTTACTACCAAGTGGCACTCGTCTTAGCAAGCGGCCTATAAAATCCTTATACTTGCCCACTCTCCTAAGAGCTACAGCTACACCAGTCATCTTTGATCGGAGAATTTTTCGTACATCTTCAAGAGTAGGTATTATCTCTCCAATGTCTACATTGAAGTGCCCAATGTTCGTCTCTACGAGCCACCTCTCGATTATATTAGATAATATGCCACAGTCGTGGTGAGTCATCGGTACTATGGTCAGATGATACAATCCTGATCTCCTGACCAAATTGATTTTGATCATTATTTGTTAAAGGCCATAGAGGAGCTGCATTGGCCTTCTCATCAACCTTGAGGGGATTTTCCTAATCCTGTAATGGAATTTGTGATATCAAATACGAAAATAAATAAATTGATTAACCAACATGATAAACAAATAATATAATTTTAAACAATTGTACATTTCCTTCCCAGATCTTCTGTGATATATGCTCTCTTTGTCTATTGAACAATATATGAATCTTAGGATCACTAGGGCCAGGTGCATCTTCTGCCATGATCCTTGTTCAAAAAGCCATCATAAACAACAACTCATGGTATGTATACTACTACTGGTCTATCAGGCACCTGACTGAGGATATGACAAAGTAAAAGAACAATAAGTGAAAGAAACTACAGAAGCCCATTCAATCATAATTAGGATACAAAGGTTAACTACATCGTTATGTTGAATATGATTACGCAACGTGCAAGCAGCAACGACTATCTTAACTTGTGTTTCATAAGTATATGTTGTTGTTAGTTTTAAGAAAGGGAATATTTTCTTCAACATGCCAAATGCACGTTCAATGATATTCCGAAGAGATAAATGTTGAGGATGCACCCCAACATGGTGAATGCCGAATACTTTCACTATGTGCAGTAAAAAACAACAGGTGCTTCGTAAAATGGAACTAGAAAACCTTCCAATGGAACTAATAGAAGAATGCACACCAACCACAAAATAGGAAACCCAATTTAAGAGCAAACAAAAAGGACATTATAGAGCGAGAAACAAGGAACTCACCTCACTGCAAGCCAAAGACAAATAATCCTAGCAATACTAATGTGAAATGAGTTTTGAAGAATAATGAAGAACGAAAGAGTCCAAAGATCTAATGATCAAATGGGTTTCAATGAAATCACATATTTGAACCCCCATTACATTTTAAGGCCACCACAAAATCCTCATGGATCATCATTAGCAGTTCCAAAAACCCAAAATTTTTTTACTAAACACAACACTTATACTACAGGTCACTGAATGGAGCAGGTGGATACCAAAAAACCAACCAAATGATCCATAACAAAAACCAAGACTAGGAAAACAAGTTTCTCACTCAATAATTTTCCAAAACAAATTAATAATAAAAAAGAAATCAATCCCATAACAAAAAAAAAATATCAATCCCATAAAAAAAAAATCAATTTCCCACTTCATGTGAACACTGTATAGAGAGAGAGTGCCAAATCCCATAACAAACCATGAAAGAGATGTAAATAAACCTAAAATTAGCAGTATATGGTGTATTTACCTTAAATTGGTTGAAATACTACAAAGTACTCCAAAACATAAAATTGAAAAAATATTTCTTACCTCAAACATCTGATGAAGTGATGGAAATGAGGGAGAGAGGAACTCTGTGAGAGATTGACATATAGAAATGTTGAGGTGGGAAGGGAGAATTGAGCCCTAAAACGGTAGAAACATAACTGTAAAGGTGGAAATGGTCTCTGGATAGGGTTAATAAGGGTCGATAGTATTACGACATTTTGAGTGTTGTAATACAAAGTCTACATTTTACCGTAAAAAACTACCGTATCATCTGGCCAAGTTTTACGTTACTTAAAGTACCATAATATTACTTCAAGTTACTATGATATTTTAAATACCGAATAAAATGTGATATGTATTATGGTAGTAGAACTAATGTGAAGGTGATAAAAAAAAAAGAACAAAAAAAAAGAAAAGAAAAAAAAGAAAAAAAAGAAAAAAGAAGGTAGAGAGGAGGTTTAAGCAAAATTTGGGTTTAATTAAGGTATATTTGCTATAATTACCCTTTTAACTTCTTTTCATTGTGTGTTTTTTCTCCTCCTGCGCCGTTCACATATTCAAAAACCAGAATTAGAATTTGGAGAGAGAGAGATGGAGGGTCTGTGCTGTGTTGTTACAGGGGGAAGGGGATTCGCTGCTCGCCATTTGGTTTCTATGCTTTTAGCATCCCCCAAGTGGTATCTGCTTCGAATAGCTGATCTCCCCACTTCTATCCAATTTGACGATGGAGAAGAGGACTCAATTCTCGGCCAATCCCTGCGATCTGGTAGAGCCCTATACATCTCCATGGATCTTTGTGATAAAGCCCAAGTCCTTCAAGGTACTCACCATTTCCACTTTCAATTTCAGTTTTTTCCTGTAATTTTTGAAGAATCACTGTTTCATTCGTGTTATCTCCTCTCTAAGAGATCACTGTTTCTTTACTGTGAGTTCCATCAATTGGTTTCTTGATGTTTTAATAGAGCAAGTACCAAAAAAAAATTGAGTGAATTTGGTTGATATAAATGCCTATCTGCCATTGTTTTGTTTTGGGTTTTTTCAGGGTCATATTTTAAATTATCCATTCCTTCTTACCCCCGTTTTTTTTGCGCCATGATTTCCAAAATCACTTGCATTTCGGGTTTTTGGACTTGATTTCTGTATCCTTATTCCACATGGAGACAAAATAGACCACTTTAAGTATATTAACAGTTAACTAAACAATTTACCATTACTCCGATTGCATTTTTTAACTTCCAAACTAGAATTTTTTTTTTCATATTTTAGCGACCCATGTTTGTAATCTGATAAATCTCTTGGGGTTTTTCCCTCCCAAAGTATCAAGCTTCTGCTGTTATCAGATTGTATCTTGGATTGAACGCTTGAAAAAGAATCAATGGCTATAGTGCTTTGAGAGAGACCACTTAAATTCATGGACGTCATCTTATTTAACTGACAAAAAAAAAAAACCAACTAATCAGCTCATACATCACCATATATGTAGTGTCGACTCAATCCTACAACGCTCAGCTCATGTATATTGGAGTTAACTGATTATTTAGATTAGAGTATAACTAAATTCACAGCAGTGTCCTTTGTGCTTCTTGTTAAAAGTAGCAAACTCGATGTAATCACTTCCACACAAATCACTTCTCATGCTTGTTGCTATTTTTACATCACAAAGGTAGTCTCATAATATGTGGTATTCTGGTTGGTTACATCAGAAACATGTCATTGTCACGTCATAGTATGAATCATTAGAGAGGTTTTGAGCATTTGGTTTTTCCTGTTTCCTTGCAATAAATTTGTGCAGGTCAAGCCTTCTTATGATTGGTTTGGAATAAAAATAATTGGACTCTTAAAAAGCTTTACTGTTTATTTTCTTACATTTTTTCTGAAAATAGCTAATAAATTCGTCCACTATATTGATCTGTAATCCTATGTTTTGATGACAATACACCTACTTGTCTATCTTCATTAGTTGATTTTGTTATCCCGTTTTGTGGGCAGGTGCGAATATGGTCTAGATTCTCTCTCAATTAGAAGTAGAGATAATGTCTGAGGCTTCCCTTTTCTTTTGGTTTGGGTTGGGCCGTAAGTATAACATATCTGAGTTAAAACCATAATTACCAGGATCTCCTCTGTTGCTTGGCGATCCCTTGCAGAACCTCGATTCTCTCGATTCCGGAGCGGATCTCGTCTGAAACTCAATTTAGTGTTCTTGGGATTTCGTTCCATCTTATAAAGGAATGAGTTTCTTACAATTTAATTTCATGTTCCTTAACATTGCATGATCTAGTTCCCTAGTCTTATTGTTCATGCTCCAGAGTGTATTGGGACTTAGATTCCAAAATAACGGAACACAAAAATCGCCACATGTGGCATCCAGATCCCACCAATATGGGATCGCAAGTGTGGAATGATGGAATATCTCTCTCCCCCCTTCAAGTGGTTGTAAAATCCTGATATTGGATAGTAAATTGCAAAGCCAAGGTTTTGGACGTTGCTCTCCCCCCCCCTCCCCCCACACACAACACCACCAAATCCTCGCCCACTAATATTTCATGATTTTATGATAACTTTACATCATTGTGATATTTTATGACAATTCTACATCAATAAACAATTGCTCGCGATCCTCAATAATGAGTACTCACCTTTATTTTCTTTTTTAGAAAGCAATACTAACAACACAATTATTCCATGTATATATTGTTGATTTATATATCGTTTTTTTTTTTTTTAGAATAGTGTTGGTTTATATATATTTACGCATAACTATTTAGAATGTCATAATTTGTTTAGTGAAATGATCTATCTACTATATTAACATAATGAACAATGGATTAGTTTAAAGTACCTTATTTATATCATAGAAGACTAAGCCTACATGTTATTGGTTAACAACACTGGGATCCACATTTTAAAGCCACAGATCCTTATTCCGAGGAACTTGTGCTCTAAGAAAATGGAGCTCACTCCTATGAAAGTTATTCCTTGCTCCATAATATATTGGATCACTTTTATTGATGTGTTCCTCAAGTTAGGAAACTAAAAAAAAATACCCTTGGGAACTTCTCTTCTTACGTATAGGATCTCGCATCTTTATATAATGATTCCTGATCCTATATAATAAAGAAAGTCGATCCCCAATACACATGGACCTCGATCCCTACCTTTGAGATTGTACGGGCATTGATCCCTAATACAGGGATCTTCAGAATAGCTTCGATCTGCCGATCCCGCCCCCGATCCCGGAACCATTCCTGTTCCCATGCCCAACAACTATGGTCAGAACCTCAGGATTTATGCTTTATAATGTTGAACGGTGTGTGGTGTAATTCGCACTATTTAGCGAAAGAATGCAAATGAAGTTTCATTTTAACATCCCAATTCGTACTTTTTGTACTATATAAAAGAGTGCAAAGTATTATGATTATGAAAATTCATCTGGATTAGATACCCTTTACTAGCCGATTTCGATGTCCTTTCAAAATCAATCATTGAATTCTTATAGAAATTTTAAATGTCTAGTGTTAAGGCACAAGTATGTATAGAAATTTGCACAAGCTCGTATAGGACTATCAATTGATTTAGCAATTTATAGAAGTGGCTCAGTACTGCAGTCCTTACATTTGTATTTTCTTCTGATCTTGCTATGACATTTCACACCTTTTCATTATCTTTGGTTTGGTTGAATGAACTTGTTTTGTAATGTAACTGCCAACTGAAAAATAATGTCATGGCTCTCAGGGGATGAATTTTTTCCAAGTTTTTAACTATGACAAAGCAAACTATGTGATTGGACCAAGAAATATAGTTTTTTAACATATATCCTGAGTGAGCATCAATTGACCAATTTACTCATCTGTCGTTGGCATGAGTTGTATGCCTTTGTTATTTTAGGAAAAGTGGGAGCTCTAGATTTTCTTTTTGCTGATTTTAATAATCATTGTGGTGTAATTAATTATGTTGTTGAATGTTAGCTTATTTGGCAAATGAGTATTTATAGAGTGTTTTCTATAATGCTGCCTACAACAATATGATGGATTCTTGTAGTTGCATCTTTTGAGACTAAAATCTACCTTGCAGCTTGTCAAGGGGCAGATGTTGTATTCCATATGGCTGCTCCGAATTCATCAATCAACAATTACCTGCTTCACTATTCGGTCAATGTTCAAGGTAAAGTGCACTCAATGTCTTGATATGCTTTGCTTGTGGATATATAAAACCTATAATAGTCAGTGCATCAGTACATGTCACACATGAGAGAGGGAGAGTTGTTTCCTATAATCAGTGGTCTGGGGGGACGCCTTGGTTGTCTCCTCTTGCGTTGACTTAGATGCAAATTTAAGCCATGAACTGATTTATATCTTTGTGTTTCTCTATTTTATATGCCCACACTTATATAATATAATATTACGAGGATACGATGGATGTAATAAGAGAACATAAGCAGTTAGAGTACAGACCACATACAATGTTCCTGGGGGGGCATCAACTTGGATAATGGTATTTGTAGTGGGGAGGAGCTCCCTGGTATGTCAGTCAGTACATAGACACTACTGTATGGGCAGTGTGTGTGGTCCACACACTCATACACTTAGACACAGACTTCTCACTAGGGAATCTACTTTCTTCTGGCACCTAAGCTGCACAAAATAGGTTGAATCTCATTTCCTTTTTCCTTCCACTTTTAGTTCCTCTACTTGTGAAATTGAATGCAAACTCTGGTTTTGCAGGTACAAAAAATGTGATTGATGCTTGTGTTGAGTGTAAAGTAAAAAGGCTGATTTATACCAGCTCCCCCAGTGTGGTCTTTGATGGCATTCATGGGATACATAATGGGGATGAGTCATTGCCATATCCAGACAAGGTGCATTGATTCAATCATATATATCTTAGCTTGAAATTCATGTTTTTCTTCACTCACTAATGTGTTTGTTTTACGAAGCACACTCTTTCTTTTGCTTTTTCCCTCCTTTTTGATACTGCAAGGTCAATCACCTTTTGCTTGCTTAACTCATAGTTTTCACCATCAATGTTTTACCTCAGCACAATGACCACTATTCAGCAACTAAAGCAGAAGGAGAGGCACTTGTTTTGAATGCAAATGGAAAAGAAGGGCTTCTAACTTGTTGTATACGCCCTAGCAGCATTTTTGGTCCTGGTGACAGACTTCTGGTTCCCTCTTTAGTGGCATCTGCAAGGTCAGGAAAATCTAAGGTATAACAATAGTCCTCATTATGAATAAATTCTTCGGACTTATTTCCACATGTTATGATCATTAGATTTTATCTTTAGCCATATGTTAAATTATACAGACCTGATTTAATCAGAACGATGAAATCCCCTTCTATCAAAACTGTCGAAATGCCCATGTGATGTATGATTATGAACCAAAGAACTAGGGAACTGTCCATGAACCAACAAAATCACCAGCTCAAGAGTCATGTATCAGAAGTAGATTTTTTTTTTTTCTGTAGTTTTACATTATGCTTTTCTTTCTAATTTAGTAAAAAATTATATGCATACTGATTATGAAGCTTTCTACATGAAATTTTAATTCCAATTGCCTGACTATGAGTTATTTTTTTCAGTTCCTCATTGGTGATGGCAATAACATGTATGATTTTACATATGTCGAAAATGTGGCACATGCACATATTTGTGCAGAGCAAGCCCTACATTCTCTACGTCGTAGTGAGGAGACAGCAGCTGGGAAGGTAATAAAGTTTGATTTCTGTATACTAGTTTGATCACCTACTTCGCAGGTCTTATTAAAAGTTTATACTATCATCATCCGATCCATATCTCAACTATTTTGGGTTGGCAATGAATCTTATTCCGCATTCAAGATCCATGAAAAGATGTTGCAAAGTTTTGTGCTGGCTGTCCTATCTAACACAACCCTCCTTTATCCGGGCTTTGCATCGGGATGATCAGTTGACTGGCTTGGGACCAGCTATGACGGACTTTATTAAAGGGTTTATAAATAAAATAATTATCATCATCGTCATCTAAGCCTTATCCGAATTATTTGGGGATGTAAGTAAGGTAATATTGATGAAAATATTATGGTTAGGCTATTTTGATTCGAACTAGGTAGGTTCTTATATAATTGGAGCTTCACCATAGCGATAATTTGGACGTCACGCCTTGAATTCAACACTAAGGAATGTCTTTGGGTCAAGATCATTTATTAATGTGAAACTTCCACTGCTTATTCCATAGTTGATGAGGGCATCATGGCCTTCTATAGTTCCGATTTAAATAAAAATTTTTATTAGGGGTTTTCATTTTTTATTTGTATTTTTTGGAGAGTGAAACTATGGTTATTAATTTATTGTAGTTATGTTGTCTTTTGGGCTTTTAAGAGAATTCAGGGGCAGTTTACCCATTCTATTATTTTGTTTCAGTTAGATGTGTTTTAGGTTACTTAATGGGTCGGTTGGGACCCTAGGATATGCAAATCCAGGTTTTGATGGCCTATGGTCGTTTGGGGTGTAGTGTTTTAGATCATATCCTAGATATCCACATTCTCAAAACAACTCATATCCAGCATTTGCTCATTCCAAAAAAAGCTTGGAATGAGCTAATACAAGGTTTTGGGAAAGCTACCTTTTGCATTCGGGCATGTGCCACCTCTTTTTCTTAATATAGTAAATGCGAAAATATGACAATGTGTCTTTGTTTATGCTGTATGTAGACCTTTATTTAACGAATGATTAAATTGATATGGTATCTTATATTATCACATAAAGATTTGATATTGCAAATTAAGTGCTATAGAGAGGATATTATTGTAATTATAATTACTTCAATTATGACTATATTTAATACTCGTAAAATGAATGAATTATAATATGAATTGTTATTATTACAATTAATATAACTCGCCATGGCCGTTCCCAAGCCGGTCACGCTGGTCCTAAGCCGGGAGAAAGGAGGAAGGTTGTGTTAAGTTGGCAGCCAATACAGATGTTGCCACATCTATTTCATGAAGCCAACCCGAAATAATTGGGATAAATCTCGAATGATGATTGTGATAGTATATACACACACACACACACGCACATACAAAAGGTTGGAAGGCATATACTCCATGTGAGTACATTAAGAAAATACTTCATGTATAGGAATATCTTAGCAAAACCCATATATATATATATATATATATATATATATATAGTAGAGTACTACCTACC